TTAGAGGTTAAGCGCTATGTTGGCTGCATTTTGTTTGGAGCACTTAAGCACTAGTTGCTGCAAGTGTGATTTGCTGCAAATTGTAGACCACTTTAAGCTGCTGGTCCCAAAAACAGTTTGTAAAAGTGAGTTAAAAGCCCTAGTAGTAGATAAGTTGGTGGAAGCTGGCCTGATTCAAGTACCTGATCTGGCTGAGGTCTCTGTTGGGCTAAGCCAAGCTGCCTTGCTTGAGGAGGACCATAAGGATGGTTCCAGTATGGATGGTGAGGGGATGAGTGGGGGTAGACGCCGTGCAAGCTTTCTCTCTATGATCCACTCTCTTCTGGGAAGGCCCAGGCCAGCAGAAGGCTGGAGATAGAGGCAGAAAAAGCCTCTATCTGGTGTAAGCTTGAGCTGGAGTCCCAGCTACAAGCCTTATCTGCCTCTGCTGACTTTCCAGGTTCCATCTCCACGTCTGCTATAGCATTCGATGTCAGTAAGTGTATTTCTCTAGTGCTCGCTTTTAGGGAAGCTGAAGTTGATTCATACTTTGCAGCATTTGAACGCCTTGCTAGTGCTTTGCAGTGGCCTATTGATATTTGACCCCTTTTGTTGCAGTGCGAACTGTCTGGCAAAGCTCAAGAGGTGGTGGCTGCACTTCCTTTAAAGGAACGCCTAAGTTATCCGAGTGTTAAAGCAGCTTTCTAGCAAGCTTATGAATTGGTCCCCGAAGCTTATAGGCAGAAGTTTCGACAACAGAGGAAACTTCCAAACCTATGTGGAGTTTGCCAGAGAGAAGGGGATTCTCTCACTGTGTTGAAAGCCAGTGATTATGGCTACCTGCGAGAGGTAGTGTTGCTGGAAGACTTTAGAAAGCATTCCTGAATGTGTAGTTTTGTATTTAAATGATGTGATGTGCTCACCTATAAGTCATCATTCCATGTCAATGAGAAGCACGTGTTAGCTCTGTGCAAGAGCTCCACGTGGCTAATACATCTGTAATTGTTTCAAGTGTGTGGTAAGTGCTGATCAAGCCAGTAAAGAACAGCAAGCCTATTTTGTAGAACAGGATGTTTTAATGTCTCAGTGGTCTCCATCAGGTGCGGAAAGAGCAGACTGGAGTAAAGTTAGGCAGATTGTTATACCAACCATGTATAGACATAAGGTCCTGTCTCTTGCTCATGAAAGCCAGTGGTCTGGACACTAAGGTGTCACAAAAACATAACAGATTTTGTTAAAACGTGTGTGTGTGTGTGTGTGTGTGTGTGCTTATAATGTACAGGGCCTCAAATGGGTATTCTGCAATTGATACACCATTATTTTTACATATTCACTGGTAATTAGCCCACATGGGATGAATGTGCCACAGGGCTGTGGTACATCGAATAACCAGCAGATGTCAGTACTTCCAAATCAGCTGTTGAACAAGGCTTCATGTAATCTGCCTTTTAGCAAAGCAATTAGCAAGAAAGATTCAACATATTCATTCAGCCTTATTACCCTACTGATGGTGTGATGAAGTCTAACAAGTTAAAAATGTTGGTTTAAAGAAGTTGCTTGTTCAGATGTGATTACTCGCCTGTCTTTTCTAAGTCTAAAGTGGCTGGGTCATGTGTGCCTATTACCTTGACAGGATTCTCCCTGCCCTCCTTGTTCTTCTGAAGAGCAACACATGCTGTGTCCTGTTTGCTTTTTGTGTGCTCATTTGGACAGGACTAAAAGTATTTTGAAACGTAACCAGCTTTTCATTTCATAGGCCTATCACTGAGAAACAGCTGTCACACCAATTTGTGCAGGCAATTGCTGTTGGGTCAGAGCTGTGGGCAGCAGAGGGCCTGTGGACTTAATTCATTCGTGGTCTGGCTGCATCTATACAGTAGCAAGCTGGTCTTCACCTCTCACTTTTGTCTGGTTTTACAGGATGGACGTCCTCAAGTGCTCTGAGAACTGGGGTTACACAAGTAACCTAAAAGGTTTCGGTTCTCAGTGTAGTTGCTAGTGTTTTGTTCCAATAGTCACTGTTTTCAGTTTGCTCTTTAAATGTGTTTTTTTGCCATTCTGGAATTCCAGTAATCAGGCTGATAAACTGCTCGCTCTTTTATAAACTCTGCCTTTCTGTGAGTCTGCATATGGGTCCTAATCTCAATGACATTTATGACAAAATGAGAGTGAAAAGGTACCGACTTATGAAGGAGAATAGCTGCATGTCTAGCTTTGGATGTAAAGGGTGACTCATAGACATGAGAAACTCAATTAGCCCTATGTTTCCTGTGCTCCGTGGCTTTAACATGTTTTTCTTGTATAAACATGAGCTCTGCCTTTAATGACTTGAGACTAAGAATATGGAGCCAACACAAACAACGAAAGTCGACACAAACCAAGAACACACACATCAACAAAGCCCTTACCCTATGTGTTGGGTCTGTGTTTCCCCGCTGGTTTAGAGACTTATTCATCATGAAGAAAACAAGACAGTCAGCGATCGATCGATTTACTTGCAAGGGAGGCCTCGTTGGTGTCTACCACAAAATGACCCCAAATCCTGCCTCCGCTTGCTG